TGGGATAGCGGATGAATGGGCCAACAAGCCCAAATCGTCAAGGCTTCAGACCTGAAACTTTTGGAGTGAGCCCAGATGTAGGCACATGATGCCCCCCGTTTCTTTTTGTGCAGTAAGTCCCATAGCAAGGGCTGTCAGCGCCAGCCGACATGGCTCTCATGTGTCTCGGTCTAAATGTACCTTAACATGGATGGATTTTGAAAACTATAGCTTGTTGGATAGCGGATTAAATGGCCAACAAGCCGACAAATCGTCAAGGCTTCAGACCTGAAACTTTTGGAGTGAGCCCCAGATGTAGGCACATGATGCCCCCAGTTTCGTTTTTGTGCTAGTAGTCCCATAGCAAGGGCTGTCAGCGCAGCCGACATGGCTATCATGTGTCTCGGTCTAAATGTACCTTAACATGGATGGATTTTGACAAACTATAGCTTGTTGGATAGCGGATGAATGGCCAACAAGCCGACAAATCGTCAAGGCTTCAGACCTGAAAACTTTTGGAGTGAGCCCCAGATGTAGGCACATGATGCCCCCAGTTTCGTTTTTGTGCAGTAAATTCCATAGCAAGGGCTGTCAGCGCAGCCGACATGGCTCTCATGTGTCTTCGGTCTAAATGTACCTTAACCTGGATGGATTTTGACAAAACTATAACTTGTTGGATAGCGATGAATGGGCCAACAAGCCGACAAATCGTCAAGGCTTCAGACCTGAAACTTTTGGAGTGAGCCCCAGATGTAGGCACATGATGCCCCCAGTTTCGTTTTTGTGCAGTAAGTCCATAGCAAGGGCTGTCAGCGCCAGCCGACATGGTCTCATGTGTCTCGGTCTAAATGTGTACCTTAACACAGATGGATTTTGACAAACTATAACTGTTGGATAGCGGATAAATGGCCAAACAAGCCGACAAATCGTCAAGGCTTCAGACCTGAAACTTTTGGAGTGAGCCCCAGATGTAGGCACATGATGCCCCAGTTTCGTTTTTGTGCAGTAAGTCCCATAGCAAGGGCTGTCAGCGCCAGCCGACATGGCTCTCATGTGTCTCGGTCTAAATGTACATTAACATAGATGGATTTTGACAAACTATAGCTTGTTGGATAGCGGATGAATGGGCCAACAAGCCGACAAATCGTCAAGCTTCAGACCTGAAACTTTTGGAGTGAGCCCAGATGTAGCACATGATGCCCCCAGTTTCGTTTTTGTGCAGTAAGTCCCATAGCAAGGGCTGTCAGCGCCAGCCGACATGGCTCTCATGTGTCTCGGTCTAAATGTACCTTAACATGGATGGATTTTGACAAACTATAACTTGTTGGATAGGGATGAATGGGCCAACAAGCCCCAAATCGTCAAGGCTTCAGACCTGAACTTTGGAGTGAGCCCAGATGTAGGCACATGATGCCCCCAGTTTCGTTTTTGTGCAGTAAGTCCCATAGCAAGGGCTGTCAGCGCCAGCCGACATGGCTCTCATGTGTCTCGGTCTAAATGTACCTTACATGGATGGATTTTGACAAACTATAGCTTGTTGGATAGCGGATGAATGGGCCAACAAGCCGACAATCGTCAAGGCTTTCAGACTGAAACTTTTGGAGTGAGCCCCAGATGTAGGCACATGATGCCCCCAGTTTCGTTTTTGTGCAGTAAGTCCATAGCAAGGGCTGTCAGCGCAGCCGACATGGCTCTCATGTGTCTCGGTCTAAATGTACCTTAAACATGATGGATTTTGACAAAACTATAGCTTGTTGGATAGCGGATGAATGGGCCAACAAGCCGACAAATCGTCAAGGCTTCAGACCTGAAACTTTTGGAGTGAGCCCCAGATGTAGGCACATGATGCCCCCAGTTTCGTTTTGTGCAGTAAGTCCCATAGCAAGGGCTGTCAGCGCCAGCCGACATGGCTCTCATGTGTCTCGGTCTAAATGTACCTTAACATAGATGGATTTTGACAAAACTATAACTTGTTGGATAGCGGATGAATGGGGCCAACAAGCCCACAAATCGTCAAGGCTTCAGACCTGAAACTTTTGGAGTGAGCTCCAGATGTAGGCACATGATGCCCCCAGTTTCGTTTTTGTGCAGTAAGTCCCATAGCAAGGGCTGTCAGCGCCAGCCGACATGGCTCTCATGTGTCTCGGTCTAAATGTACTTTAACATGGATGGATTTTGACAAACTATAGCTTGTTGGATAGCGGAGGAATGGGCCAAAAAGCCTGACAAATCGTCAAGGCTTCAGACCTGAAACTTTTGGAGTGAGCCCCAGATGTAGGCACATGATGCCCCCAGTTTCGTTTTTGTGCAGTAAGTCCCATAGCAAGGGCTGTCAGCGCCAGCCGACATGGCTCTCATGTGTCTCGGTCTAAATGTACCTTAACATGGATGGATTTTGACAAACTATAGCTTGGTTGATAGCGGATGAATGGCCAACAAGCCGACAAATCGTCAAGGCTTCAGACCTGAAACTTTTGGAGTGAGCCCCAGATGTAGGCACATGATGCCCCAGTTTCGTTTTTTGCAGTAAGTCCCATAGCAAGGGCTGTCGCGCCAGCCGACATGGCTCTCATGTGTCTCGGTCTAAATGTACCTTAACATGGATGGATTTTGACAAACTATAGCTTGTTGGATAGCGGATGAATGGGCCAACAAGCCGACAAATCGTCAAGGCTTCAGACCTGAAACTTTTGAGTGAGCCCCAGATGTAGGCACATGATGCCCCCAGTTTCGTTTTTGTGCAGTAAGTCCCATAGCAAGGGCTGTCAGCGCCAGCCGACATGGCTCTCATGTGTCTCGGTCTAAATGTACCTTAACATGGATGGATTTTGACAAACTATAGCTTGTTGGATAGCGGATGAAGAGGCCAACAAGCCGACAAATCGTCAAGGCTTCAGACCTGAAATTTTGGAGTGAGCCCAGATGTAGGCACATGATGCCCCCAGTTTCGTTTTTGTGCAGTAAGTCCAATAGCAAGGGCTGTCAGCGCCAGCCGACATGGCTCTCATGTGTCTCGGTCTAAATGTACCTTAACATGGATGGATTTTGACAAAACTATAGCTGTTGGATAGCGGATGAATGGGCCAACAAGCCCGACACATCGTCAAGGCTTCAGACCTGAAACTTTTGGAGTGAGCCCCAGATGTAGGCACATGATGGCCCCAGTTTCGTTTTTGTGCAGTAAGTCCCATAGCAAGGGCTGTGTCGCGCCAGCCGACATGGCTCTCATGTGTCTCGGTCTAAATGTACCTTAACATGATGGATTTTGACAAAACTATAGCTTGTTGGATAGCGGATGAATGGGCCAACAAGCCGACAAATCGTCAAGGCTTCAGACCTGAAACTTTTGGAGTGAGCCCAGATGTAGGCACATGATGCCCCCAGTTTCGTTTTGTGCAGTAAGTCCCATAGCAAGGGCTGTCAGCGCCAGCCGACATGGCTCTCATGTGTCTCGGTCTAAATGTACCTTAACATGGATGGATTTTGACAAACTATAGCTTGTTGGATAGCGGATGAATGGGCCAACAAGCCGACAAATCGTCAAGCTTCAGACCTGAAACTTTTGGAGTGAGCCCAGATGTAGGCACATGATGCCCCCAGTTTCGTTTTTGTGCAGTAAGTCCCATAGCAAGGGCTGTCAGCGCCAGCCGACATGGCTCTCATGTGTCTCGGTCTAAATGTACCTTAAACATAGATGGATTTTGACAAACTATAGCTTGTTGGATAGCGGATGAATGGGCCAACAAGCCGACAAATCGTCAAGGCTTCAGACCTGAAACTTTTGGAGTGAGCCCCAGATGTAGGCACATGATGCCCCAGTTTCGTTTTGTGCAGTAAGTCCCATAGCAAGGGCTGTCAGCGCCAGCCGACATG